AAAAAATATGACTATTTTGTTTCCAATTTGCCATGTTGATGACAATAACTTTTCTTAATTACAATATTACCTTTGGGTCCTGGGCCATAGTGCTGCTCATCTTTTTTTTCTTTACACTCTTATGCAAATAAATAACATATGCATAAATGTGGGGCGAAGTCTTTGTGATGTTATTTATGTTATTTCTGAATTCTTAGGCGGTATTTGAATTGAATAAATTGATGGATTTTGACGACTGTATTTTCTGCTGTTGCTTTTATCTTCTGTGTGGTTGTTTCTAACCTCCAATGATAATTATCTGATCTAGGTTCTGTACAAGGTCGTTGCTTCGTGAATCTCTTGATTATTCTCTTATAGATAAAATTCCTGGCCGGCAAAATGACCGCAAGACGCTTTTAGGAGAATTGAATTGGATTTTTACTGCAGTGACTGACACAATTGCCTGGAATGTTCTTCCACACGGTAGTTACTTAGATATATTTGCAAGCAGTACTTTTTTTTTTTTTTTTTTGTTAAGTTCCCACATCTATCTTTAATTTATGTTGTTAAATTAACACTTACTTTTTTATTGCAGATCTTTTTCAGAGACTGTTCAGACAAGATTTGTTAGTTGCCAGTCTGTTCCGAAATTTCTTGCTTGCTGAGAGAATCATGCGCTCTGCAAATTGTTCTCCAATCTCCCATCCGATGTTGCCACCAACCCATCAGCATCACATGTGGTACTACCCTGTTCTTTTTAGTTTTATTATTATTTTTTGTTCATTGGTTCTTTTATCAATTTATCTCCTCTGTCATGCAGGGATGCATGGGACATGGCTGCCGAAATTTGCCTTTCTCAGCTTCCGTCACTGATTGAGGATCCTAATGCAGAGTTCCAGGTATATTTATATAATTTTATTCAAGTGCTTCTTATGCTACTGTGAATTTTTTACCTTGAACCTGATTGTTTCGAAAGTTAGACACTGTCAATAATCATATATTTTTTTATTTTCTTCTGACTAAATAGACTTTTTAAGTTTCTCATTTTAAATTTCAATATGAAACAAAGATAAGGGATCCATTTGATTATAAAATGTAAATACATAGAGCAATACAGTCAAAACAAGGTATTCTAATAACTAAAGAATAGATACCTCAAGACAGATAAATTCATCAACGGATTCTCTATCCCATCTTTTGCCAGCTAATTAATTTCTTCAATTTGTTATAGGCTAACAAGATGGTTAGAAATCCTATATTTTTTAGACCCAATGCTCTTTTGATTTTGGAAAAAAACTGGTTTGAGAAGAAAAACTCCCTTCGCATTAATTTGGAAGAATTGAATTTTACTGCATTACAATGGAACAAACAATCCACATGTTTGCCCCCTTAGTATAGAGAGTATAGCAGCTTCTGGTACTTGATAGTCCTGCCTTCTCACTTGAATGTGTTTGTTTTTTTCAGCCAAGTCCATTTTTCACGGAGCAGCTCACTGCTTTTGAGGTATGGCTTGACCATGGATCTGAGCATAAGAAGCCACCAGAGCAATTACCTATTGTGCTTCAGGTGCTGTAAATGTCCTATTTCTTTCCAGCTTTTAGGACCTAAAGTGTTCATTATAGTGATTTCAAATCTTATTAGATGTGGGTTATATGATTTAACTCTTCTGTTCCTGTTTGTTAGTCTTTGATGAATAAGGTGGACTAGAGCTAGTATTGAGTTTGTTTATGTTAATTACTAATTAATTGCTCTCAAACCCTTTGATAAAACCAAGTTTTTGTGTACTTCTTGGTAGTGTCCATTACGATTAATCAAGCCTGGTAACCAGAGTATCATTGCATTGAGAGGCTATCACAATGCTTACTTTAATAATAATTCGTTAATTTTGAATGATTAATCTGCTTTTCATAATTGTTTCAGGTTTTACTTAGTCAATGCCATCGTTTCCGTGCACTGTTTCTACTGGTAAAATTCCTTGATATGGGACCTTGGGCTGTAGATCTGGTAATATTGGTGAACCTACTATTGTAATCTGTTTTTTGGTTGTGGCTTGCAATTTATGTCATTGCTAAGTAGAATTTCTTATTCTTTTTTCTTTTAATTTGTAGGCCTTGTCCGTTGGGATATTCCCTTATGTTCTAAAGTTACTCCAAACAACTACACCAGAACTACGTCAACTCCTTGTGTTCATATGGACAAAAATTCTAGCACTTGATAAGGTATTTTAGAGATGGTTCTAGTTTGAAACACATTTTTCATGTACCTAGTTTGGGCATTATATCATGCTTGAATTTGGGCCGAGATTACATATATGCATGATGTGTATGGTGTACTTTGAATCTGTCAAGATCCTATAGGTATATCTGGTAGAGGCTTTAAATTGCTCTCTATATGTGTTTGCCTTTTTATAATTGACAGACTTTATGTTAAAGAAAAGATGTGATGCAGCAGTCAAGAAACAAAAGTGCTTACTCTTTGTTGTAATGTTGTGTAGTTCCAATTTTAGCAATTAGGCTTTCATTTTATAATTTATGGCTGTTTTCATTTTGAGTAATAGATTTATAATTTATTTATGTTTTATATCCTGCACTGTAGAGTTATTAAAATAATTGGTTATGTTAGGTCAGCCCATTGTAAGAGTTTCTGGAATTTAGAATTTTTATTGTTTGATTCTAAGTTGGTTGATCGCTTATAAATCACTAAACCCTCATCTTTTATGAAAATTTACAGTTTGATCCAAAAAGTTTCAAGAAACAGTACCCATTGAGATACAATATATTTGCACACATTGCCCCCAACCCCTACTCCCTTAAGAAAAAAAAAAGGGTAATTCTCTCATGTTGGGTTTTTCAGGTGGTCAGGTGGGGGTGTGTATATTTCTATCTTTTTCAAGAAAATGTATTTTCACAGTTGGAAGGGTTGTAATTTTATCCTTATTATAAATTATATTTTCTATTGTGGAATCTTAATTTGTCCATTAATAAGACCACAGGCATTTATGAATGGAAGTATGAGTATTTTGTTTCATTGTGTCATCATTCCTTGGAATTTGTTGTGAGCTCTTCTCGTTTCTTTCTCTTTTTTTCTCAACTTAAACTAGGTGCTCTTATGTTCTACTCCCTCCATTCCTATTTATCTGTCCATATTACTAATTCTCAATTGACTCTGCACATGACTTTAGGTAATGCTTTTATGTAGCATATGAATGACATTTGATTAGTTATTTATTTATTATCAAATGAAACTGCTTAACATGAACTACTTATTGAAACAAAAAAAATTTCCAATTGCTGTCTATATGCTATATAAAAGCATTACCTAAAGTTACAAGCAAAGTTAGTTATATGGACAAATAAATCCTATCTTGCCTACAGATCCTTTATCTTGTTCATTGCAGCTTTAAACCTGTAGTATGCCCCAGCAAAGTCTGCTTGCTATCCAGCCTCAAAAAAAGCTTGCTTGGTAGAAATTGTTTGTGATTGTTGACTCTCTAGGAATTAGATCTGCTTCTCTGTTATCTAACCTTTTGGGGTTATAAAACATTACTACGATAGAAATATATTTTATAGGCCATACTTTCTTTGATGTTTTATTTGGACATTATGTGTTACAGTAGATCAATTGCAATTTCTATGACAATAATTTGAAATTTTGTTCTTTTGGGATGGCAGTCATGTCAGGTGGATCTTGTGAAGGATCTTGGTCATACATATTTCATAAGGTTTCTTGACAGCACGGAAACATACCCGGAACGTGCGATGGCTGCATTTGTTTTGGCTGTCATTGTGGATGGGCACAGAAGGGGCCAGGAAGCCTGTATTGAAGCAGGTTTGATTCATCTCTGCTTGAAGCACCTTCAGGGTAATGATGCACAAAGTGAACCCTTATTTCTTCAGTGGCTTTGCCTTTGTCTTGGAAAGTTGTGGGAGGATTTTACAGAGGCTCAAATGATAGGCCTGCAGGCTGATGCTCCCACCATATGTTCTCCTCTTTTGTCAGAACCTCAACCAGAGGTTTGCCTTTGTACTTTGTACAATCAATGCCCACAAAGAATCGGCATGTTTAATAACAAAATTTAATAATCATGCAATTAAATTTCAGGTTAGAGCTTCTGCTGTTTTTGCTCTTGGTACTCTCCTTGATGTTGGGTTTGACTCGGCCAGAGATGGTGTTGGAGGCAATGAAGAATTTGATGATGGTAAAAAGATTAGGGCTGAAATTAGTATTATCAGAAGCCTTCTAAGTGTTGTTTCAGATGGAAGTCCACTAGTCAGGGCAGAGGTTGCTGTAGGTATGCTATTATCACTAAAAACACACACTAGTAATTGGATTAATTCTTTCTGTTATATTCTTCTTCTTTCTTTCTTTCTTTTTTTTTTTTTTTTCAATTTCTGAACTATGTAATAACGTAATTGCTTGAAATGTCAATTAAAAATGCTTAATACATTTAGCATATATTTGGAGTTTTGTTAATCTTAAGCTTCAAAGAATTTCAAGATTTATGCTTCGCATGACATATAGGTATTACACTGATATAATTAACAAACATTTCCTGACTTTAACCCTAGTGTAGCTATATTATTTCTTGGATCTCATTTCTGCCTTGTCTTTTCCTTTCAGAAACATATCTGGCCTTCTATTTCTTCTGTCCCCTGTTTTCTACATGCATTTTATATCCATGATTTTGATATAATTTCTCCAACTTGGCAGCTCTAGCACGTTTTGCCTTTGGACATAAGCAGCACCTCAAGTCCAGTGCTGCTGCATATTGGAAACCTCAGTCCAGCTCTCTGTTGAATTCTTTGCCTTCACTGGCCAACATAAAAGATGTTGGATGTGGAAATATAATTTCATCCCAGATAGGTCCTTTGACTAGAGTTGGAAATGACAGCCCACTAATGCTTCGAGATGGAAAAGCTTCCACTAGTAGTCCTCTTGCCACTCCTGGAATTATGCACGGATCTCCATTGTCTGATGATTCATCTCAACATTCTGATTCCGGAATATTGAATGATGGTGTCCGCAATGGGGTAGTTAACCATTCAAGGCCAAAGCCACCAGACAATGCAATGTATTCACAGTGTGTATTAGCAATGGGTACTTTGGCGAAGGACCCATCCCCACGAATAGCAAGCCTTGGTCAGCGTGTTCTCTCTATAATTGGGATTGAACAAGTGACAAAAGCAGTAAAGTCCATTGGTGGCAGTGTTCGACCTGGTGAACCTTCAACTTCTTCCCCCACCCCTAGTTTTGCCAGACTAGCTCGCTCATCTTCCTCGTTTGACATGAATGGAGGTAACTTTTGCTTTTTTATGGTTCCTATCGATTATTGTTTTCCATTATTCTCATTGTTACTGCCCATCATATTCTATTATTTTTCATCTGAATTCCAATATAGTTCTTCTCTTGTTTGGTCTGACATCTGATTTCTTTGATTTTTTTTTTTTTTAGTTTACTTATTTTTTTAGCTATTCAGAGTTAGTGAACTTAAACTTAGATGTGTCAATGACAGGTCATCTGCCCTTAGCATTTAGAACTCCTCCTGTTAGCCCTCCACGACAAAGTTACTTGACAGGAATGAGGAGAGTTTGCTCTTTGGAGTTCAGGCCTCCTCTGATGAATTCTCCTGATTCAGGATTAGCTGACCCACTTTTAGGCTCTGTTTCTGGGGTTTCAGAGCGCAGTTTACTACCTCAATCAACCATCTATAATTGGAGTTGTGGTCACTTCTCCAAGCCACTTCTTAGTGCAGCTGATAATGGTGAAGAAATATTAGCTAGAAGAGAAGAGAGGGACAAATTTACACTGGAGCATATTGCTAAATGCCAGCATTCTAGTAAGGATTTAATTTACTTGGTTTAATAGCCTGACTATCTGATTATCATTGTTTTTTCTTTGGAACTAATGTGGTTTAATTTCCCTCACCAGGTGTCAGCAAACTTAATAATGATAATCAAATTGCTAACTGGGATACAAAGTTTGAGACAGGCACAAAAGCAACCTTGTTGCAACCCTTCTCTCCTATTGTGATTGCTGCAGATGAGAATGAACGAATCAGGTATCAGGCATCTACTTGGTTTATATATTTGAGCAAACTCCATTATAGTTGTGCAACATGATGTGTGATATAGTTAATAATTCATAGTTTCCAAATGATTGATGTAACTTAGAAGTCTATTAAAGTAATGGTTGGAGTGTCAACATAATTGATCTTTTTGCATGGTAAATTTTCTCATTTCAATATGAGGGCTAGAAATATTTAGGCCAATAGATGGAAATTTATAGAAAAGAATATCAGATTTCCCCCTGTTTGGTACACTATTTAGGAAAAATTATTGGCTGAAAACGTTACCAGAAGTTTGTAACTTTAAAGGAATAACAAATTCGTGGAAACTATTAAAACTTATCACAGGTTAACGGAAATTTCAAATTGGGAATCATGAGCAAGATAAAGCCTCTGAGTTTTGATTTTGGACTTCATTTTGGTACCCTACGAATAAAAAGAGATAACAATGGATTTGATTGCACTGATCTCTTTTGCTTTATAGTTTTTCTTGAGTTGAACTGTTATTTTTGAGAGCATTTTGCTTTTAGTGGTATCCAACAGCTTCTTTGTCGCAAGGTGATCAAATATTGCTTGTCCCTTGGCTAGCCTCTATTCTCTGAAGCAATGTCTGTGAATATATGTTTATCTATATATTTTTTAAATAATAACAATGTTGCTGGCTTTGATACAGATTATTTCTTTCTTTTCTTTTCCCTAAATTGGAGGACATCATTGTTTTATATACTTATATTTTTCTTTTCTCTAAGAAATGCTGAAAATGTATTTTAATGAATTTATAACCCTTATATTTAATATTTAAATTTTTATATTAGGTAATGAATTTCTTTACTCAAATTGCTTTCCTGTTGTATATGGTATATGATAAATGCTTTTGTTTAACTTTAGAAATGATTGCTGTTTTTTTAGATATAATTTGTATCTTTATCTTCATTTCATTTGACTTTGTTATTTGCTTCTGTGCCAATTCATTGTTTTGTTTTCCACACAGGGTATGGAATTATGAAGATGCTATCCTTCTGAATGGTTTTGACAACCATGAATTTCCCGAAAAAGGGATTTCTAAGCTTTGCCTTCTGAATGAACTAGATGACAGCATGCTTCTTGTTGCTTCATCATGTAATATTCTTTACCAGTATTTTTGGTAGTGTTCATGGTGGTCAGAGGGGGTTTTTGGAATTTTCAATTAATTTATATTTTCTGTTCTTGTTTCATGTAGATGATGGAAATATTCGTGTTTGGAAAGATTATGCCGTGAGGGGTAAACAGAAGCTCGTCACTGCATTTTCTTCAATCCAAGGTCACAAACCTGGTGTGCGGAGCCTTAATGCTGTTGTGGACTGGCAACAACAATCAGGATATCTGGTACATATTAACTGTCATATTCTGTATTAAGGCACCTATCCTTCACAGGATTCTAATTTTATGCTGAAACTGCTAAATTTTGTTTGTTTACCTCTAGTATGCTTCTGGGGAGATATCATCAATCATGCTATGGGACCTTGATAAGGAGCAGCTAGTCAGCTCAATACCTTCATCATCGGATTGCACTGTCTCAGCATTGGTAGGTTGCCTTTGTTGAATTCCTTTGCAATTTAAATCTCAGTTTAGCTATCCTCTGTAAGGTGTTTGAATTAGTTGATCTGCTCAAGATGTGTCGAATGTGTTGCCTTTGTGCTAGGGGCAATACATTTTCCATTTAAAGTGAGATTTTAGAGGAAGTTGTTTGTTTGAAGACAGAAAATGCTGGAGTAGCAAGCTATGATGGTAAAATACTTTATGGAAATTTTTTTCTGGTGTAGTTTCCTGTAGATAAATGCCTAGAATATTAGGTTATTTCCTGTGGATTGTTCTTAATTAAATGCTAGTTACTCATGTTTTTCCAAACAAATCAGGATATATCCCAAATGGCTTCTACTAATATGCAAATAACAAAATTTAGCAGGAGAAAATGTTACACTATTGTAAGAATGATGATTTTAGGCCTGTAGGAAAGAATTGGATGAAACTCTCTTAAATGCCTTACCAACTGGTGGAAAGCTGTAATGAGTTATTCAGAGTTGAACCCTTTTTCTTTTTTTTCTTTGTTTTTTTTTTTTGGAATGGCAGGAGTGGGAAGGTTGTTCATTCCACTGTAAAAACAGTTCAGTACAATCTTTTAACCCACGTTTACATCAACAGAGTAGAACATTTTTCTTCGAGTCATTTCTTTAAATACTTGCTTGAAAACAACTAAAGCTCTGCTTATAGTTTAGTATTAGACAAGTTTTAGTTGAATGCTAAATTATGAGAGGATGCCCTCTCTTTCCAAGTGTTCTTGGACTTTAATTTGGAAATGAAGAAGCAATGGCAGTATCATATGGTAATTGGTAAATCTTCTGGCGTGCTTTTCAGACAGCAAGGGCATCATAGCTGATTCATGGTTGGATATTCCACCATCTATAACTTGCCATGGAAAAGCATCTCTTTATTTAGTTGGCACTTATTATTGTTGATACTATATTTTATTTAGTTGAAAATTTACATATGACCTGCTCATCATTGGTGATACTTCTTTGATGCTGATGGCATTTCTTTGTACATCTACTGCATAGGCTGCTTCTCAGGTTCATGGTAGTCAACTTGCAGCTGGTTTTGTGGATGGGTCTGTCAGATTCTATGACATCCGGACGCCTGAAATGTAAGGCACTGGAATATTCTTCTGTCACATTTGTATAATAATATACGTCTTCATGAAATAATGCTGAGCCTCTATGATATGAGCATATTGATTTTTTTGAATTATTTTGATCTTGCTAAATCATTAGTGATGTTAGGCATCCTGCCTTTGAATATGTAATTTTCTCATCTGAATGAAGTCAAATATGGTATTAGCAGTACAGAATGGATTAAAAACTGATACATTAACATTTTACATCGAATGGGTGCTACTGCCAGACATGCTTTTTTTCTTTTTTCAACAATACTGCTAGATATAATGCTATTCATCCTTGTAAAATGATAGACAATAGATCTCTTTTTCTCACTCCAATTCATCTTCTCTGTTTGATCTAACTCTGTTATTACTCTGTAATGCTCAGTCTGGTTCGTGCAATGCAGCCGCATAATCAAAGAGTTGTTGGTATTGGCTTTCAACCTGGACTTGAACCAGGGAAGGTAACATTTTTAAAATGCTATCATTTTTGTCATCTTTATTTCTAACTGTAAGTTCTTTAGTGTAAAAAGACGTTGCATTCATTTCATTTAACCTTCCATCTTGCAGATTGTCAGTGCATCGCAGGCTGGTGACATCCAGTTCCTTGATATTAGAAGTTATGGAGATACTTACCTCACAATTGATGCTCACAGGGGGTCACTAACTGCTTTAGCTGTTCATAGACATGCCCCTATAATTGCCAGTGGCTCAGGAAAACAGCTAATCAAAGTCTTCAGTTTAGAGGGCGAACAATTAGGTACCATAAGGTACTATGCAAACTTCATGGCCCAGAAGATAGGTTCTGTCAGCTGCCTCGCCTTCCATCCCTACCAAGTATTGCTTGCTGCTGGAGCTGCAGACGCTTGTGTCTCCATATATGCTGACGACCATTCTCAAACAAGGTGAATAGTTTCATTATTTTCTGATTTCACAAATTTGGAAGGCAGAACAGAGTGGCTGAAGGATGGTCGGTCCAAAGTGTCTTTTTGTGTCAGAGATCAAGTTTTATGAGCGAATTGGAGCCTGAATCATGAGATATGAAATGTGTTTGCCTCCTTGTTCACACACAAACGCTGTTGGTCTTCCTGGGAATATTGATGGACACAATCTGCCGGTTGTATTTTATAGATATTCATTAGCCTCCAGTGTAGATGTTCAAAAAATGTTGGGGGAAATCCAGCACATATTTAATGGGGGCTTTGACAAATAATGTTATATAGGTACATGGGTGTAAATAGCTTCTTTCTGTTTTCCTTCCCTGATTCGGTTGTGCTCATTGTTCCATGGCTTTGTTCAATTTGTAAAAGCAGCACACTTGTTATTATCATAATTTAGCGTTGCAAACAGATTAGTAATGGGTAATTATCCCCTCAAATCTGGAGCTATTATCTCTCTCTCTCTCTCCGTGGTTCTCTTCTTGTTGTACATTTAAAAATTGAGCTATGCAACGGATTGTTACCATCTCATATGCTAATTTCTTAATGAGATTTTCTAACCTTTGTCCTTAGTTAATCTTTATTAATTATGGTATTTATAATTAATTTTATATAAATTTTTGTATTAGATTTAATTAAAATAATATAGAAAATGTAAAATTGAAATATAATATAATATTTATATTTGAAATATGTGAAAAAGTATAAATTTAGTATAAAAATGTGTGTAAAATTAATTATGAATTTTTTAATTAATGAAACTTATCTTATGCTTTAGGACATAAATTAGAAAAATATTTTTGTTCAAGTTAAGCATCCCCTTTATTAATAATTGAGACAACCCTTAGAGCTTTTGGTTCTCTTGCTAACATGGTTATGCCTCCCCTCCTGGCCCGCGCCCTCACCCAAAAGAAAAATTGATGAATCTCATACTAGTACTAGTAACCCTCTATTTTTGTTTCCTACAAATTATTTTATCATATTTAGCTCGTAAGTTATTCAAGCTCCGATTAGAATGGTTTTAGTTTTCTGTTTTTTGTTTTCAGTTTATATATATATATTAATTAATACTATATTTAAATAAAATTTAATTTTTAATATAGTAATAATTTTTAAATATTTGAAAAATAAAAGGTAAAAAGTAAAAAGCAAAACCATAACAAATCGAGTTGGTCATGGCTATGGTCACTGAAGAAATTGTTAAGACACAAACAATACAATTGCATTTAATTTGGTTATTAAAAATAATTAAATGCTGTAGCAATTAACAAATAATAAGTAAAATATGTGATATTTATTATTTAATATTTTAAAATAATATTTTCAAGTACTTTAACAGTTATAAATTGATAAAACTAGATAAATTAAACACGTACTGCATTTTGTGTGGCCCCAACAATTTTTTTTATTAACCAAAGTTAATTTTATTAATTTAGAGTATAATGGGCCCTAACAATTCTTTGGGTGGCCATAACATCAACTTAGTGGAGCCTTTAGGTTCTGTTTAGTATAATTGTGATTTTTTTATTTTTTATAAAATTAATAAGTTTAAATATTATTTCATTCAATTAGAACTTAATAAAATAATTTTTAAGTTTTAAATTAGTTTTCAATTAAATGAAATTATGTCATTTAAAGTTAATATTTTAATTTTTTTAAAACTCCAATTGATATGTACTATCCTTATAAAAATTTATATTTTTAGATAATGTGTTACATGATAAAATATATATTTAGAATGACTTTAACAAGGGATGACAATAACATTACCTATGATTTGAACTCATGAGAGGGAACCCTTTCTGGTGTTGGCAGATTAGACATACTTTTGGCCCTTTGTATTTTGGACTTTACGGTGGAATGACTTTGCCAACAGAAGTGTCCGTCTATTGGAGGAGGTATTGCACTTTATCTTTGTTGTTTTTCTCTCAGAATTTAATTGGTACTCGCAAGTCACTTCTTGAAACAGTAGTAATCCATACATACAATTCATAAGCTGAGAGGCAAGATCCAAGTTAGTCATTTCCTCAGGCAACATTTAGATATATAAGCCAAAGAGGAGATCAATTTGGTACGTAGCCCGTAGACAGCCAAATCAAAACGACAACCAGAATCTGAGAGACCTCTTATCATCATGATGAATGCCAAATTGTCAAATCATTCTGAGAGAATATGTTGAAACGTTAAAAGGAGACATGGATGTACAAACATATTCACACGAATGTCTTGTGCAAAGTTGCATCTCTTTCTACTTCCTACTACCAATCATACCTTGACTAGCAGAACTTGACAAACTAGGTGCATTACCACTTGTCATCTTCAGCCTTCCATCTGCATTACCGAGCACATTCAAATCTTCAAACAATCTGTAAGATGGAATAAATGGCTTCTGGCCTCCTGCAAGTGTAGGATTTCTTGGACCTAGACTTGCCTGAGGATCTCCAATTGTGGTTGAACCGTTGCCTGCCATTGCAGTATATGATCTATTGAGCTGTGATGGTCTTGCTGCTTGCATGGCTGCATTCGACATGGTCATGCTGGATTGGGGAGTAGAGAACATGGTATTTGTAGTTGAGAAGCTATTTTGGCCATTGAAATAACCTGGTGTTGCAGCCCATGGCGGAGGAGGGTACCCAGATGAGTACTGAGGATATTGAGATTGTGACAATGGTTGATGTGAAGGTTGTATGTGATTCTGATATTGAGGCTGTGATAATGTTCGAAGTAAAGATTGTCCCTGATTTTGAGCTTGTGATTGTAACTGTGGCTGGAGATGATTCTGGGAGTGTGCTAGTAACTGAGAAGGATTTTGGTATTGTGACTGGATCTGGGGTTGTGATTGGGAAGGATGGACTTGCGTTTGGGGTTGTGATTGGGAGGGATGGACTTGCGTTTGGGGTTGTGCATGCATCTGAGATGGATTTTGAGATTGTGATTGGATCTGACTTGAGGGAAACTGTGATTGGAGTTGAATTTGGGATTGTGACTGGAACTGAGGTTGAGATTGAGACTCTGGATGGATTTGATGTTGAGACTGTATCTGATGCAGTGGCTGGGCTTGAGATTGGGGTTGTTGCTGAGGCTGAGACTGAGGTGGAGGTTGAGCTTGGGCCCAAGGGGCAACATAAGTATTATAGGGTACCTGCCCTTGATTTCCAGGATAGGTCTGAGAAACAGAAGGCTGCCCTTGGGTGCCGGGGGAAACTGGTACCTGATGAATGTTATGGTAAGATGCTGATGGAGTTTGAGGAGTATGGGGTGAAGTTGATGTTGTTGACAAGGTGAGACTAAGAAGGTCTATCATGTCCTGCTCTTTAGTAGTCCTCACTGGTGCAGGTGGACTGGGCAGTGCTAATGCAGTGCATGTAACTGGAGCTGAGGCAGCTGGGACATATGATGTTGCTGAGGTATTATTCATTGAAGCAGCACCCTCACTCATTCCAGCATTTGTACTGTGACCAGGTGTTGGCTGAGCTTTGGAGTGCCTGCATTCACAAAAACCAGATGTTGCTGTAACTAATCCAAAAGGCTTGAACGCGCCATTTCTACAATCAATAAAAGGTGAGCTACAATGTAGCATTACAAACCTTCTAGCTAGCTGAGCAAAGTCATCCTCCTCTTCATCTTCCTCTAACTGGCCTCTTGCAATAGCAGCAACAGGTGCAGGGGCATTGATATTAGATTTCGAACTAGAATCTTTTGCTTCAGTTGGTTTGTCAGAAGTACTGACTTCATTCAGAGTTGGTTTGGAACTTAAATTAACAACTTGACTTGGAAGGGAGGAACCTGAAGCTATAGCATCATGTTTTGCAAGCACACTCTGCAGACTATCATTTAGTTCAAGACCTCGACCCAGCAGGTCCTCATCCCTGCCACATAGCCAACAAGACAATTTTGATATCAACAAATAAGCCACATCCAGACAGGGAGAGACAAATACAGGCAGATCCCAAGAAATTATGAAGATATCTAAGAAGTGATCCTTCCTATATATTGGCTATGTCTAGAATCTGATATACATGTCAGTTAACATTGATAAGATGGGACTTCATGTAGCAGGCCATGATTTCAAGAACATTTGGTGAGAACTAACCCTGTTGTTGTCAGCATTTGCATGAGTTTCTTTTGGTTGGATCGACAACGATTAACAAGATCTACTATTACTTCATCTTTCACTGCCTGCAAAAACAAACCGAACAATAAGTTACGACTTAACTCCTAAACTGTAGTAAGAATTAGGAATGGGAAGCATCAATCTCATACCGCCATATCACCAGGGTTCACTGCTTGCAGCATGTCACTTAAGAGCTCCAAAACATCCCGCATAGAGTCCAAGCTAGACAAACTAAATAAAAAATATATATATATCAACCAAAGCTATGAACAGAATGAAAGCATGAACATATGAAAATGCACACTTTCAGCTTTGGTGGGCAACTAAAGTCAAGTGTTACCTTAAACTCTCATATTCTGTAGCCATTGTTTCATCAAGCCTTCTAGAAGAATTGCTTGGCATTCCATAGCCAGCATGTCTCATTATTTCATGAGTGGCAGGTGGTGTAAATATTGGAGCAGCATCTGGTGAACGTTGTGGAAATATAACTCCAGACCGCTGTTGTTCATAACATATGACAGCAATCAGAAAAAAAAAAAAAACAGAGATTTAATGTAGTGGAACTACAGTATCCAATTACTTCCCTGGTCTCTAAACTATTTAGTGATTGATAAAACATAGATGACATAAATATGAGAATGAATGCCAAAATTTTGCAAACCTCCAAATGATTTATCCCCAGAAGAAATGACTTTGATGCATAAAATGAAGTATGAGAATGAATGCCAACAATTTGAAACCAGGTGGAGAATCATCATAGGATATAATTTAGCCTTATATACATGGGCTCACCCTTAGTTCTTCATATGCATAGTAGTACTGAGGATATTTTCCCCCCGGACCACCGAATGCCTCCTGCCAAGAATCCAACAAAGCCAAGATTTTATCTCTCACTTGCATGTCCGCCTGCAGATTCCACCCAAAACAGAGTTCAATAAAACTCTAAAGATGCACAGAAAGAACCACAAAAGACAGAATCTAACTGACTGTAAACAACCAGAAAATAAGATACTCTTTGCACAATAACAACTAGTGAAACCATTGTTGTGGGAGAAATAAACCACCTATCATGGATCATTTTCAAGAATCAAAAATTGATGATTATTGGGTGAACCTCATGACTCGTGATAACTGCACTAAACATACCCACCCATATAAATTTCCTGCCCTCCAACTCAAATGGCTAAAATATAAAAATTTTAAGTTAAACACATAATCACACTTATCCACAGGTTCAAGAGAATAATCATAATTTATTACTTCAATAGAATGCAAACCTCATTAAATTTTTCACTTTTTTCCCACTAAGAGGACATCTGTCTGTGTTTGTAACGTAATCATCCCCAGCATGTCACTGCATTCACAAACCTTCACTACCATATTAATTCTTTCAATGTTCACTCGTTTTTATTTGCACCACAAGCTTTTGGCCCCAGCAAATATGAGCTCCTGAAACCTAATGCTTCAAATCACTAATAACAGGACTCTAAACCCCCTCCCCCAAAAAATAAAACCCTATTATGGTTGAATAACCAGAAAACGTGAAGGTGTGAAGGAGAATGTGATAATAGCTTTACAATTAGAACCTCAACCACAAAGGATTTCAAGCCAAAATATAGAACCACAAAAGCCAAACAGTTACCTTCTTCCTCACAATTTTGACCATCTCCCCCAATATATTCCTCTCAGCAATTTGAAAATGGACAAAATCACCACAGTTCTTCACCATTGTCTCCAACAGCTACAGAGAGAATCAGCAATCAAAAATTCAGCAAACTTACAATATAACTTTGTGTACAGCAGTAAGCCACCCAAGATTCCAAACAAATGAAAAAGCATTTGTGAAAATATATTAAATAAAGCTAGCCTCTTTTGACCCAAGAATCTAATTATCAACAAAAACAAGAACATGAAAATGATATAGCAGCTGTACCGTAAGAGCAAGCAGTTGCACTTGAGAATTCTTGTGCTGCAACCTTTTCTTTACAGCTTTTACAACATCCTTTGCCTGCCTGAGCAATTCATAGGGTACATATTAACAGACACAAAAAAAATATATGTTAATTTAATTTATCCCCCTACACCACCATCCACAGAAAAATAAAACAGAACACAACAATCTCAAAAGCGTGAAAGTACCTAAGACAGCAATTAGAAACCCAAAACACATACTAATTTGCAAGTTAAATTCATTCAATAAGACCGTTTTCTGCCTGAAAATCAATATTCCTATTTTCCTCCATGATCAATCAATTTTCCATGAATACAAGTCAATTACTGAAATTTGCAGAAAATCAGTTTTCTCCATTTAGCTTTATCCGAAACACATAGCTTCATCTCACACCCAAAGCACCCAGTAAAAAGCTTTCCAGTACAACCATAATCCTTTTTCTTTTCTTGGATGGATGGATGGATGGATGGTTCCCTAATAAAGAGAATATTCAACTATGTTCATACAGAAAAATTTTTCAAAAAAAATTAAAAAACCCCAAAACAGGAAAATCTTCTCTTCGTTGATCATCCAAAAAAAAAAAGAAAAAAAAAAGCCAAACTAGCGCGTACGTGCATGAAAATTTCGATACCAAATTCTAAAAAGGAAGAATTGATTAAAAATCAAAGTTAACTTCACAAATAAAAAACAGGAAAAATGATAAAAAAAAAAAAAAGGAACTCTTCTTCTAGTATCTCATGAAATTTTTACCAATGATGAGAATTGATGGAATCACAGATATCGATGTTCATAGTCCAATCAGGAGCGATCAGAAGGTCGCTCGTCGCCTTCTCCACGGCTACTGTAGCTGACGATGAAGAAGCGGACATCATTTTCGCTCTCCCTCAAACTATATCTCCTCTTCGTCAACTAGGTACACCGAAAGCTTCAGTTCGTTTAGCGAGAAAAACTCACAGAGTCAACCTGAATTTCCTGGAAAGCACAGCGCTGTGAGTTTTTGTTTGGATGGATGGAAAATCAAAGAACCCTAGAGAGAAAATTCCAAGCAGATTGCTTGAGCATTTTCTGCGGAAAATTCGTTTATTTCCTCTTTATTCATTCATTCTTCTTCATCTTCTGTCCCCAGTTTAAGACGCTTCTTCGCGGTGGGGGAAAGTCCCACGCGCTTAATTTGATAATCTGATACACGCGCCACGTGGGATATGTTGTTGCCGTTGATGGTGCGGGTGATGTGGATTCACTTGAGGTTGCGGTGGAGATTAGTTGGGTACTACTTTTTATACAATTTTTTTTTAGTTAAATATAAAAAAAAAAAATAAAAGTGATAGTGGAATTGGATGACAGAGATTACATGGAGTCGCGATCAGGGGCTGTTTTGTCATTTTCGGTTATGTCAGTTGGAAGTGCTGTGCAAAAGGGACAATGTTTTGTAAAAAATTACGGATAAATGCCCGAGTTGTCTTTGACTACTCCCTTTGTATAATTTAACTGTGGTTAAATGCTAAATTTAGTCCCTCAACTTTAGTGAGTTGCATATTTTTGATCCCTTAATAATTTTTTGCACTTTTTTGATCCATTAACTATACGAAATGCACTCCGTTAGTCTTTTTGTTAATTCGGGCCGTTAACTCGTTTATGTGGCATTTTTTATAATTTTTTTTATGATGTGGCAAAAATAATTTTAAAAAACGTTGATCTGGAATTTTTTTTTAAGCCAACTCACTGCCAACTCATCAACCAATTTTGCCTTAATAAAAAAATAAAAAATTACAAATTTACCCCTCTCCCCTTTTTGATCCATCTTCTTCCCCTCTTTCGATCATCTTCTTCCTTTCTTCATTTTCTTTCTTCCTCTTCTTCCTCTATGTCTGCTGGGTTCCAAACCCAGCAGATCTGGGTTCCGGTGGAACAACCCAGCTATTGGGATTGTGGAACCCAAATCAGTTGGGTTTCTACTAACCCAGCTGTTGGTTCGGTGGAACCCAGATCGGCTGGGTTCCACGATCTGGGTTCCTCGAACCCAGTTGGCTGGGTTCCACGAGGAACCCAGATCGGCTAGGTTCCCGTGGGCTGGGTTCCGTGAACCTAACTCCACTTTTTTGCATTTTTGTTTTTTGTTATATGTTGGTTTGCTCCAAGACATTATATGTTTGTTATATGTTCAAAATGGAAATGGAAAGAATAGAAGCAGTTGGGCAAAGAAGCTTAGTGTATTTTCATTTGTTTGGCTGGAAAATGGTATAGTTTGGGTGTTTGGATGCTGAGAAAATGCTTTGAATTTGTTTGATTGGTGAGATTGGTTACTGAGAAATTATAATGGCCGTTAAAGAAAAAAAATTTAATGGTGATTTAATTATAAATTAATTTAGAATTTTAATTAATATAAATAATTATAGTTTAATGATGATTAATTAATAAAATTTGATTTGATATTATTTTTTATTCGAAATAAATATTTAATTTAATTTGTTATATTATTAAAAAACATAAAAAAAATATCACTTAATTTACTATGTCATCAAAAGATATCTTTCTTTATCAATGAAGTGGGACCCATTTGAATGAATTTAACACATGGTAATATGATTTGGCACGAGGGTAATATGAAATGTAAAAATGTTTGTCCATATTATCACTTTGCTCTCCATATCATCACTGTCCATATCATCACTTTGCTCTCCATATCATCACTTTGCTCTCTACATCATCAAAAAAAATAAAAAAAATACCACATAAGCGGAGTTAATGGCCCAAATTAATAGAAGAACTAACGGAGTGCATTTCATGAAGTTGAGGGATCAAAAAAGTGTAGAAAATTGTTGAAGGACCAAAAATGTTCATTTCTTAAAGTTAAGGGACCAAATTAAGCATTTAACCTTTAACTGTTTCATTTTTATCTATTATCTTTGCTATGAGACACTCTATTGCACTTTGTATGATTAAGCCATGCTGAAATCAAAATTTAATAGGATTAGTGATTAGTAATTGACATTAATAATATATTTAAATTGAGGTGGATAGAGAAAAGAGAAAAAGAAGAGAAAAGAAAAATATTCTCTATCTACCTACTTATCAAAAATATTGGGGGATAGAAAGGTAAAAAATTTTATTTACTTTAATTTTAATTTTTTATCTAAATAAAGAGAAGGGAGGGGAGAGAAGGGCAATGCATCCTTTCACTCCCCTCCGTTTCCCAAACTCAAATATATATAGAGTAAGATTAACGGAAGTATTATAATTACTATTTCACGTTGCATTATAATTTTATAATATGATATATTATTATATAATTAATTTTTTTATTTAATTTTTTTTAATATTATATATATTTAATATTATATTATACTTATTTAATATCACTTTATTATTATAAATTTATATGTCACGTATTCCAATTATAAAGAGTGTCCAAACGAGAATATTAGAGATAATGTTTTTAGCATTCCTCTTTATCTATTCGTGATTATAAAAGAATAATGATTAATACATTTTATGATTTAATATCTTTTATAATATATTTATTAAAAAATTATTATTTTTAAATTTGAGTTAAAGTAGAAAAAACTTAAACTTATAAATTTTAATGGCTGAACCGATAAATGTATTGAAGAATATGTTGAATCAAAGAATATATTAATTATTTTTTTAAAAAAATTCATTTATTACAATAATAAAAACTTATCTTTTCAATTTCCCCCTTGTTTATAATTAAACAAAAAAATTTATATCATTTTTATTCTTCTCATATAAAGATAAAATTAAAATATTAGTATTTAATATCTTACTAAAATAAATAAAATAAAATAATTAAATTAGATCATCGCTATTTAAAAATGGGACAAGTAAATGACATTGAAAGTGGTTTCATTATTCGCATTAGGGGTGAAGATTTTCATATAGAAAAAAATTATTTCACTTCCTAAAGTGGGTTGTCTGATTTAGTTATTTCACCTTTTATATTATTAAAATATTAAATATTAATATTCCAAATGTTTTTCTTATCTTCAAAAGACATAGAAAGGTATTAGAAGTTTTTAGTTTAATTACACGAGTAATGGTAAAAATGAAAAGATAAATTATAATTATTGTAATAAATCATAAATGATTTTCTTGGTAATCTTGAATGAATAAAGTAGGGTAACTAAATGATTGAATACCCTCTCTGTCCTAAAACAACTTTTGTTTCTCAATTTTTTTAAATTAAAGATTTAGAAATAATATCTATATATATTTATAATATCTTAAAAAATAAATAAAAGACAAAAATGATTTTTTATGATTGAGTGATTAAATAAAGTGAAAAAATAATGATAGAGTTAAAATAAGAAAAAAATATTCATCTACCTTAAAAATAAAAAAACGATAAATTCAAAATAAAAATATATTAGTTATTTTAGAACAAAGAGAGTATTAAATAAGGAAACTTATTTTAGTGATGATTAATTAAGGATAAATATAAAATTTTATCAATTAATTATTACATTTCTATTTTAGGTAGGAAAAAAGAATTGCTAAAGTTGAATGGAAGGAATAGTAAAAATGAGACCAGATTTATAACTCTAGCTAGGAAGAAAAGATGGGTTTTCCTTTGTATAAATTAAAAGTATATTTATTATATTTTTTTATTAATTTATATTAAAAAATAAAAATTAACTTTATTGTATTAACCGCTCAATTAAAATTACATATATAATATTAGTATTGAAAATAAAATTTATTTTTGTAATTACGTACATATAAATTAATAAAAAAAAGTTGTAATAAATGAATTATTTAAGGCACATGCTTAAAAACTCAGAAGATTACGCCTCTCTTTATGGGATTATTAAGACATAGGGACAACTATCGCTAGAAATTACAATGAATTCTATAGGGGCCTATACAAAACTATTAAAAATAGAAAAATACCTATACGTGCATAGTTAGCTATTTGGTATCATGTCTATATGACCAGTCTCGAAGATTTAGGGGAGGGCACATTCTTAGTAATGGAAGTCCCCACCTCTTAACCAAGTCGACAACGATCGAAGAGAGAGCTGCAACCCATCTTAGCCCAACCACTACGTCTACATTGTTCTTCTTCCTCACCAAAGCACAACACAGTCAAATATTGTGATAACTCGAACAAAAGTCTTCATTAAAGAGAGAAACTCTCATGAGAGAGAGAAACCCCTAAAGAAGAAAATTAAATCTTATCATTTATCCTCCCTAACGGCTAAGAAAAACAAAATAAGCAACAGTTAAGACAAAAAGAACAAAAGAAAATGAGAAAGTTAAGAAAGAGAAATAGGAAACTGGTGAATAGGGCTTTGCCAACCAGGTTTTAATCAAGTCAAACTATCAAATTTACCTTTAAGTATAGAGTAGAAACAAATCCACCCTTCGATTGAACATAAAAACAAATTACCCTTCTAACTAATTGGGTTGGGCAAATGACCTTGAAACTTAACTACTAACTAGCAACACATGCCATCAGCTTTTCGTTACTATCAACACAAGAGAAGCCACGTAAGCAAGAAAATATTGAAAAAGTTGATGTCATGTGATGTCAATAGTTTAAACAGCCTGGCCCCCATACTTCGAAGGTAGATTTAGGGTTCGTCCTTTTAATCAATGGTAAGTATTATAGTAGCATGGCATATATTCAATTTCTAGATTTTAAGCCCAATAATGATATTGAACTCCATTGCCCTCAAAAAGAGGAAATCAAAAAACTATTTTGTAATTTGAATTGTACTGAACTATAAAATAAAAAACTTGAATGAAGAATAAATTTATTGATATTGGAGGCTCTCCTCCCATTCAAGAGTTTTTATTTTGCAATTTGGTATAATTTAGACCATAAAATATATGACTCAAAAGGGAATATCTTAATTAAGTTTCATTTTTGTATAAAATACAAAAATTACCTTTTTTTTGCTTGAGAAAACATGTGAGTCCAAATCCTAATATTAGATTTACTAATAAGCAAGTCTTGTTTTATAGAGTAAGATTAAGGTTCAAATCTTATGATTAGCCACAAAAAAATAACTTTTTAAGATACTTTAGGTTAATGCGGAGAATATACACTTAAAATTATACCAAAAAAAAAAAAAAAATGGAAGGAACAAGTGACTTGCTTATTTTCAAGATTCAAATATTAAGTCCTGTGTGATGTGGAATGTCCAACTTTAAAATCACCAAAGTACAAAGCAGCTCAAAAATACATCCACCATTTAAAAGAAGAAAGTAACATAGGTGACTTGATATTTATTCAATCTTAGGAAAATGATTTTTAAACAAGTTTTTTATACAATCTTTTGAGACAACCTTATATATTATT